GAAAGAAAAATATATAAAGTTATTATATTAGCACAGTTTCTAATACAATTAATGTATAAGAGAGTAAAAAAAAAAAACTTAATGGCTGAAAATGGATTATTTTAAAGAAGAGCAATGATGCCATTCAAAAATTAGAGAATGTACATATTAATTAACTGATGCCATTATTAAGTAAAACTGTAAAATAATTTAAAAAATTATTAATTTAAATTTTAAATATTCATAGTAATGCTTTTATATAATAATTTGTGTCAAAATTATTAATTTTATGTTCGATTATAATATTTATCAACAGCTCTAATATATAACCTGCTTTTAAAGTTTGTTTTATTTATTTTACCACAGGTGCCAACATTATTAGTATTTGGAGAAAGGGACAGGGGAGAGAATTCAGCTAAATTGTGTCTTTTGCCTAATGGTCAAGGAGCAGAAATTCCAGAGGGCAAACATGCTGCATATCTGAGTAATCCAGCTTTGTGGCATAAGTTGTTATATAATTTTCTTGATATACTAAATGATACCTATTTATGTATGTGAATAAAAACAAAAATATTTATAATTTTTGGTTTAAATGTTTTTGTTAAATTAATGCAAGAAATGAAATTTAAGAATTATGTAAGGGATTTTGAATCATTCTTCAATTAAAAACCTTTTTAGTAAATTGTTAAAAAAATCTAATTTTGAATATTTCAGTTAAATAGGACATGTTTGGAAAATGTATTGATTAAAAAAGATACAAATAATCCTGCACAGAATTTACATATATGATACTTGAACAAACATATCTTTGAAAGTATATTGTTTTTATTAATTTGATAATGTTAAGCATGTTAGGGATACCTACATTTGAAAGTATATTGTACAGTTATAATCTGAAACATGTACTGTCATGATACTTACTCAGTTAAGGAAAAGAGTGTCCCTCTAAAGTTTTTTTTTTTTTTTTTTAACTGTCTAAGTAGGGGGGAAAAAAAAGAAGTACTTTCAAGCTAAAGAAAAACTATTTATCTAAGTAAAGAGAATATGAACATCAAAATCATTACTTATTAGTTCATATACTAATATGCTGTCTCCAATTGTATAAAATAATTTCTTAGCTTACTTTAGGAAAAACTCTTTGCAGTCATTTTTCTTTAAAGCATTTTTCTTTAGAGCTTATTGTATAGAATTTCCCCTAAAAACAAGCGGCAGTCATATGTTGTATTTTGCTTTGATTTAAAAAATATGATTTTGGCTACTAGATCACCATTTGAAGAATTTAGTTTACTGAATGAATTAGTGGAAATAGTTATTTGCATACGTTTTTACCCAGTCAGACTTGCAGAAAAGTGTTTTCTTTATACTATAGAAATTTTTTCTTTTTGTTTAGTTTATTCAGTGGACAAAAATTTTTAGGATGCTGAAGCAGCCTTATAAATAAAACAATTCAGTATTCTTTTCATATAATCATAAGAATATTGTATATAATTATAATGCACAATAATATTTTTAAGAGTAAGATGGGAAGTGTTGACAAAATATAAATAGAAACACTTTTATTTCAAACGTGCTTTTTGGTATATATTTTTTGCATTTTTTGGCATATATTTAACATAAATTTTGGCATGTATTTAACATAAAACATTCACACTAAAAGTTATGATAGAAAAGTGTAATAGCTAAAACCTTTATATTGAATTACATTTAAATTCTGTATTCCAAATATTGAACAGATTTATAACTTTTACCACCTTGCCCTTTTTTTATTATTTCCAATGGCAGATTATGAACAGTTACAGCAAAAATCAAGAACAAAGAACATAGAATACAGCAACACAATGGGAGGGAGGGGAAAAAACAGCTGTAACAGAGTCCATTAATCTAATATATCTCTTGCCTCCCAGTAACGCTCGGCGAGAAAAGTCTTGCGTAGAGTAGAACAGTGGGGTAGATGTGCGCCATCCATCACCTCTCCAGAGCTGCACAGAGTGCATATCATAGAAGGAACAATTTTGAATCTATGAAGATGATATTGTAGGCAGTCATGTCCGGTGGCAAGGCGGAATTCAGCGACTGCTCTACGCCTTGGGCCATTGCACAAATTCGGGATAGCATTCTTCCAAGACTGATAAGAAACACGGTGATAGAGATCTTCTTGAGAACGTACTTTGAAATATCTTTTAATAAGATCCCTAACAGTATAGAAAGGCAAAGGACAAAAAATATTCTGCATGATTAAACCCCCTTTTTTTTGCCAAGAAGTCGGCTTTCTCGTTACCTGGAATCCCAGAGTGAGCAGGAACCCACTGAAGTACTATAGTTTTCTCAAGTGAAGCCAAGTTTTGTAGATAATGTCGACAGTCCAATATGTCCTGTGATATGGGATTTTTATCTAAAACGATAGCCAATAGAGCAGCTCAGGAATCGCTGGGTATAACAGCTCTTGCTAATTTTCCCAAGTGGCACGGTAGCTGGTACAGAGCTGTGCGAATAGCAGCAATTTTGTCCTCAAATACAGAACCTCGGCCCACAGGGGTGTAGAAAGAGAAAATTTGAGAAAACTCCGGCACTTGCATTATGGCCATCAGACAGGAGGGATCCATCAGTAAAGATCCGAAGCCACTCTGACTCAGGGTAAAAAATGTTTAATACTTCGTAAGCGAGGGCTCTCAAAATAGAGGGATCCATATTATATTTGGTTACGTTTTGACCCAGGTCAAGATTAATCCATAAAGATTTCAAATTTATTGGATTTTGTAGTGGAACAAGTAATTCTGGTTCATTCATTAAACCAAGTGAATATTTTAACTGAAAAACTCTCTGTAGAAAGCCCATTTGGGTCTTTAGATTTCTAGTCAGAACTTGATTGTCTTCATTCCAGAGTGAAAGAAGACATCCAGGAACTGTAATGATCTTTTCCCAATTAAGGCCTTCTCTTGAATTACGGTTCTTAAGAGTTTATCGCCAGTTAACATAAAGGACACTGAGTCTCTTCGTGGCATAGTTGGACAAGTCCTCTGCATGTGGCTTCCATGTTAATTTGCGGTGAAACGTCACACCCAAATATTTAAATTTATCGCACAAGGGGATTTGGGTACCCTTATGTGTCAGCTGAAGATCCAAAGATTGGTGCGTAAGTGAGAAAGTCGGGCAGTATGATTTATTTAAGTTCACCTCCATATTATTAGTATCACACCAAACCTCCAAAGCATTCAAGGCAGGAGAGAGTTTAGTCTCTATGTTTCTCACTGCACTTTCTTTTTTAGAAACTTTCCAGAAAACAAAATCATCAGCGTATAAGAGGCACTTGAGGCCAGAAATCTCTTGTGTTTTACAAGTCAAGTCATTAATATAGATGTTAAAAAGGGAGCAGCTCCCCGTGGAAGACCTGTTTTTAAGATCTTGGATTTCGATAGAGTGTTGCCGTACGTGATTCTGGAAGAGTGCTTGTACAGGAAGCCTCTAATCTAATTAAAAAGAATTGCTCTAATACCTAGCCCCGACAGTTTCAGTAGGAGGCACTCCCGCTATACTTTATCATAGGCAGACTTGAGGTTAATAAAAACTGTGGTCAGGACCTGTCCACTATCCAGCGCGTCCTTGACACATTGACCCAGGAGAGCAACATGTTGGTTAGTAGATCTGGAGCTTCTAAACCCTGCCTGCTCCTTGGCAAGAAGTCTGCAAGTTTTTAAGTAATAATTAAGTCTTCTCACAATTATTTTCTCCATAGCCTTCCCCATAATACTAGTAAGTGATATTGGTCTATAATTATGGAGACTATTCCGATCCTTGTCTTTCTTCTGTATGGGAATAATGATAGAAGTTCACCATTCAGCTGGTACAATATCAGTGTTCTAAATTAGATTGAAAAAGATCCATACAGTCTCAAATGCTTTAGGATCAAGATGGTGGAGAAACTCAGAATGGATTCTATCTCCTCCAGGTGATTTTACACAAGGAAGGCTTCTTAAAACATAGGTAAATTCTTCTCAAGTAATGGGTGCCTCAAAACCTGAATCAGTAGAAGATTCAAACTCCGATTGCAAGAGTGTAGTTTTTTGCTTACTTCTAGACAAATGCATTTTTGTGTAAGTGTTTTTGTTATTAGCTCTACAGAATTGCTGTGCCAAAGCATTTGCTACAGAAGAATCCGAAGAAAGTTGTTTATCTTTAACTATGAAGGTTTGTTTAGGTAAGCCAGCAGGATCTTTCATTAGGTTGGCTACAAATTTAAACGTTCCTTTACTATGAGTTTGGTTAATTTATTTTTGAAATAAATCCATTAAATGAGGATCGTTTACGGGCAATAAGGGCCTTTCTAAAATATGTAGATTGTTTTCTCCATGCCTGAACGTCGCAGGGTCGGGAAGTTAACTCTGCCTTTCTTCTAAGCCTGCCTATCCACACATTTTATAGCCTCATGCTATCAATTGCCATCGCTGTTCCCTGAGCTCTTCTAATTTGTTTGGTAGTGGAGGTATAAAACATGGTTCTTAATGAACCCTTAAAGGAAGAAGTCACAAGGCATTAAATCAGAACACCTGGAGGGAGCAAGGGAAAAAAGTGAGGTCATCCTCATCAACATGTTCATTTCAGCTATGTGAAAGTTCATCATTCAGGTATCAATGAACTTGAATCTTCCAGTAAGGGAATATCCAAACCTCTTGTAAGACAAAATACCACGAACCAGCAGCCAATTGTGAAATCAACCAAAACTGTAACATATCCAAGTAACTTTCACTAGTCACAGTCTTGGTATTCAGACTTGGCAAGTTTATGGTTTTTATATCACTGGTATTTGTACATGGAATACTTCTGAATATATAAAACATTTAGAAAAATGAATAAATTTTTTACAGGAGCCCTGTATTTAATGTATTAAATTAGTTACACGAGTTAAAATTGCTTAGCTTATAATGACAAACGAAATTCTGTTTTATAAAATTTTATACCTTTATTTTCTAATATAAAAATTATATCTAATTTCCTTTAATTTAAGTAAGAGTAACTATTTTACAAAAATTTTTTTATTTACTCTTTATACAAAATATAGTACATAAAATATTTTATACTCATGAATATACATACAAAGTAATTACAATATATTTCCTCTGCGCAATATCTTTACCAGCCAAAAAGTGATTTTATGCCATTCCATATGTATATAAAAGGTTGTAATATATAATCATACCACTTCATAGGTGGTGGCGTTGGTTTAATTTCCTCTTCTATATCTTCTTCAGCTGGATTTTCTATGCCAAGGATTGTTCTTACCATTCTATTAAGGCTCGTTTTTGCTGCTTTACTGCACTGTTTATTAGCTATGTTGGTGCATGAAATAGCCGATTCCACTTCACTGTTTAAAAGTAACAGAAGTGTTTGTAAAATTATATAATGTAAATATTTTTATAAATATAAAAATGTAACATGAAGGATAAATTGGATTATTTATCAGAAGATTGCCAAGTCTAGCTGTATCTGAATTAAGTTATATAAATTCAACTGTCAATATTAGATTCTCAATTTATGCAAACAAAATTATAGCGATTCAGTGTAGATATATAAATATTCTCTTTTCAGCCAAAAAATCACTGTTATATCCTTTGATATCTCATTGATTTGCTTCAAGAGTTATTGTTTCTGTGTTTCATGCAAATGCACAAACAAAATGTATATGTTATAAACAAATTATACATATATTTCCATTTACTGAATGTTAGTAAAAATTGAAAGCAAGTCCTTTCAAATGAATCAAGACGTGGACATGAGATAATCCAAAAAACCAATGAGCATAGATTTGGGATTATGTAAAATTGAATTTCTTACATCTTAATTTTTCCACAAATGGTAATTTGAAATCAAAGTTTTTAAGTTCTGATTTTAGAATGTAATATAAAATTTATTTTTAAAAAACTCCCATTAGGAAACAATCTGAATATTAATAGTAATATATGGGCCAAATTTTTTATGAGAGCTTTATTACTTTTTGACCATATAAAAATTGGATAATTTTTTTTTTCATTTGATTAATTTAATTATGGGAAAATATTTTTCTTAATGACTTTTTTCCTCATTTGGTTTTGGTATAAAAATTTTGAGTTTTTTATATTCATTGAAATCATTTTATCACATGACCAGAAATTGTAATCATAATAGTACCTTGATTCATTCTTAAATTGTAACCTTTGGCCTACAGTCAATAAATGTATTTAGTTAGACAGTCATCATATTAAATAATCTTTCTGAAACACACTGTATATTCAGTGGTTAAAAATCAGACATTTTACCCAGAAATTTATATAAGTTGAAACTGAGTACATCTTCTATAAATAGAAGTACTTAAAATATCATTATACCAAATAATAAATTTTAAAGTTATGTGTTTTGTAGTCATTATCTGGTTTTATAGTCATTATCTGGTTTTGTAGTCATTATCCACATGAAGCATCTGAGCTAAATTCACGTTATCAGCATTACTGATTTATATTTAAAACATGGGATTCTATTTATGGAAAGCACTATACACCAGTAAGTGGCAGTTACAATCACAAATAGGTTGACTATGAAAGTCAAAGTATGTTTAATGTTATGTTAATTTTTTATTACTATTTTCATAAATGTAGAAATACACTGCACAAAAAAAGGGGGGGCAGTTCTATATCTCCCGTTCTACTGGGCCGATTGACGAAATTCAAATTACGTTTTCAATGTATCAAGAACCTGACTTAAGATATATATTAGATTTATATATAACATTATTCTAACATAGGTATCTTGACACAAAATTGGACTTTTTCTGAAATAACATACCAATGTTTTTCCATATTTCGATTTTACGACTCAAATTATGCCTAGATATTATATTTTGTAATCTTTGCTGCGAAATTTAAGGAAAAATTCGAAAATTTATCTTGGCCAAATTTTTTCAGTTTGTGCCTAGAATAATTCACTTGGCGGACTTCTTAATACGTGCCAACCAATTTTTTTCCCTTTCATTATGCGGGAGCGGAGAAAAAGGCACTTCGTTCCTACCCTTTTTACATTGTGCATGAGCAGAAAAAATCACATCCTTTGCACTTCCAAATAATTTTAGCAAAATGTCTAAACTATATTTGATGTTTTATCGCTTTCAACAATATATATATATATATATATATATAAACAATGAAAGGTTTCAGATTTTAAATTACGTCCGAAGGGGCGTTTTTTTAACATTTTGTGTGTTACCTTTATTTATTAAATATCAGATTCTTCGCACTTAAACTATAAATTTCAGTTCAATAGCAATGTCGCAAAATAATTTTAAAATGAGCTTATCGTTAGAATTTCGGATACACTGTCCGTGCGCTAGAAACAGAAAGGTTTTTTCCCCCCTCCGTAGATTGTAGCCATTGCTCACTTTCAAATCATTGAGTTTGTTACTCAAAATTTCGTTAAAGTTTTACAAAATATGAAATCGTTAATAAAACAAATTCCAAATTTCAAATTTGGGTTTCCACATGCCCATATTTGCAGTAGGATTACGTCATTCAAAATTCGATGGCTCTATGTACCGTTGTTTTATCACAGTGCGAGAAATAGACATATATTTATGCAGATTTTTCATTATTTAATTTCTTCATATATGATGAGGACTCTAACATTGGGTGGCCACAGTTTGAAAAGTGAAACGGACATTTATAGTGATTCAACGCAAAATTGCAAAACGAAAACAATAGTCCTTCAGGAACAAAGCCCCTTTGGACTAATAATATTTTCAATATATAAATTATTATGTATATTTGGAAATTTTGAATAAAAAACTAATTTTTTGAAGGTATGCTTAGAAATTACTTTAAGATTATGGTAAAATTTTTACAGATTATAATTCAAAAAGTTTTTTGAAAAATTTATAAAAATTATTTGAAATATAAATTTTATAAATAAATCTAAAATATGGGTGAATTTTATTTGGAATGAAACTACATTTCAAAATGTGAAAGGAAGAATTAAATATGTTTAATAAAAAAGAGATTAATAAATATATACCAAACTCAATTAACATTGAAGGAGCTAAAATTTTGGGAGCTAATTTTCTAAAAACCACTCGTGCGATTTTTACAAAACTTGGTAGTTTGGCGTAATTTGAGTCGTAGAATTGAAATATGGAAAAAATTGGTGTGCTATTTCAGAAAAAGTCCGATTTTGTGTCAAAATGCCTATATTAGAACGAAGCTAATATAAATCTAATACATGCCTTAAGTCGTGCTTTCGAGACATGAAAAACGCAAGTCGAATTTCGTCAATCAGCCTAGTAGAACGGTAGATATAGAACTGTCTCTCCCCCTTTTTTTTCGCAGTGTACATCACAAATTCACCCAAATTGATGATTCATGTTTTCCCCTTCTTTATAATAAAAAATCTATCAGAATCCTGTACAAGAAATAATTTTTAACAATTGACTAGTAATAATTTAACAGAATCTTTGAATTAGTATCCAATTTTTAATCAAAATGTTCTGTAGATGTATGTAAATATTTTTGATAATTCATTTAAAATTGGACCAAGTTCTCTAACAGAAGGGCTAATATAGTTAATAGCTGTTGTGGCAAAATATATTTTCTGCATTTTTCAAAACATCATTATCTGATTTTCAGGTAAAAATTTTATTATCTTACTTCTGAAATTCCTGTTCAGATTTATCAAAAACAGTCTTGAAACATTCTTCATAATTTGAAAATGTCACTTCTTCAACGCATTTTAGGTCCTTTATGTTCTCTCTACCTGTGTTTGAAAGAAAAAATTACATTTCAGAGTTATTTTAAATTCAAAATTTCATATAAAGAATTCATAATTACACTGCTCATAATTGAAACTGCAACACCAAGAAGGAGTGGTCAGAAAGTGATGAAATTTGGAAAAAAGACAGAGACAGAAAGCAGCAATAAGTTATCTTTATTTCAAAATGATTAGTCAGAATACAGATCGAGAACGGCGTCGGCTCTATAGGATTTATAGGATTTAGGATCGGGGAGGATGGGCACCACGCCTTTACCATTTGGTTAATTGGTTTAGCGCCATCTCCCCACTACGTGATGCCAGCCGTTTATTGATATTAGCAAACAGATACATAATTTGAAATGAATACAAAATTTGCAATGATACATAATTGAAATGAATACATAATTTGAAATGAATACATAATTTGCAATGATACACAGTTTGGAAGGTAAAAAAAAAAGTAACTAAATGAAAAATGCACATGAACAGTAGGAAAGTACAGAACAAACAAACAAGTCATCTGTAAAAATACTAGGCTCAAATATGCAATAGTTAAACAAAAACATATACAAAGACAGAAAGTTCCATACAAAATAAAGAAGAATTTGCGGAAAAAGCTATACTTGCTGACTGAAACTATCCATATTGTCAACAATAACTATAGTACCGACAGAACTATATTACCGACTGAATGCGATATTTGCAGACCGACTAGAATTATTTACTGATAATGCTATACTTGCTGACTTAAGAATGAAACTAGCTAACATGAGACAAGAAACAATGATATTGAAATTGTGTACTAAATAAAAAGTAGACAGATTCTTACAACATGAGACAGATTTCAATGTAATTAGATTAACATGATGCCATCAAATAAACATTTACAATTTCTGTTATAGTACAAAGGCTCACTATACATTACAATAGAACATACCAACATAATTTATTGATAATACTATACTGAATGAAGATACTTGTAAGCATGATACGATGATTAAGATAATGATTGTCTTATAGACAATCAACTTAATAAGAAAAGCATACTATCGATAGAAGAGTACAGTACAATCAAACCAACGTGAGAACTATGTAAAGGCATAGCTTAAAAAAATAATAACAATAATACAAAATCGATTACGAATTAAAATATATATATACAGTCAAAAGTCGTTAATTCGGACACCCATAATTCGGAATGATCTATAATCCGGACCTCAAAACTGAAAACTTTCTGCGCATGCGCCGCGTTGACACATGCGCATAGGCGTTTACGTGTGCGCGTAAGACCTTTTACGACTGCGCATATGAGTGTGCGCAAGTGCAGAATACGTTTTCGCGTGCGCGTTTTATGTATAATGGACGTATAAGCTAAAATTATCTAATTATCTATTTCAGTTAATGTTGATGATTGCATTGTTCCTTAATTTTCGAATTGGATCCGGCTTATTATTTTTTGCAGACTGTAAGAGCAATTTTATAAAAGTAAGCTTAAACTTTCGATTATATCAAATAGAATTTCCGATATATATTTGTTAACATGTAAAGGATCTAAAGCGAAAGTATGTTTTGAAATCCGAAATCTGTTTATCAATTTCACGCTGCTCGGCGGGGAAAATGCCGCGCCGCGGCGGGCGCGTAATGAATTGGAAGTTGATTTGTCAGCACTACCCTTATCTTGCGCAGATGTTTTTATTTGGCTTATAATTCCTTACCAAATGTAGTATTTCATCTCGACATGCTCCGTCTTTGATATGATTTAAAACAAGTTCCTCGTCATTATAATTCGCTTCCGATAGCGAAGAAAAGTAACAGAGGTTGTTGAAAACGAAAAAATTTCGATTGACAAATTAGTCGGTGTTCTTGACACAGCAATTATAGGACTTGAACAGCGGAACTTTGTAACTGAACAAGAAATTATGTCTGTTTAATAGAATTAAAAAGAAAGTATTATCACATGAAACGAAGCAAAACTTAAACAACTTACATTGAAAGAAATGTTTAATAAAGTAAACAAATAAATATTAAGCTTTTTCTTTTTGCAAATTTTGATACCCTTTAGATCATAATTGTTCTTTATTTCATAAATTACGGTTTCATATTTTTAATTTTAGAATTTCTGCATGCCATCTTACGAGATTTAAACTGATGATCTATAATCCGGAAAAATCGATAATCCGGAATCGCCGAAGTCCCGACGAGTCCGGATTAACGACTTTTGACTGTATATATATATATGTATATAAATAGATAAATAAAAATAAAAATTTCTAACAAACCTGAAAAGGTGATAGATGGAGTTCGATACACACAAACTAACGTGATGCAGTCAAACTTATATTTAATTTGTTATTAACAGTCTAGTTACAAAAACGCAGATAGTACATGGTTAATATATTTCCTGAAAACCATTTAGATTAAACTTGACATAGGTCAAGCCCAATGCTGGAGACTTTCTCCATTATGCAATTTAGTTTGCGGATCAGGTGTCTTTGCTTAACTAAGAGTTTGCAAAATGCCTGACGGTTTTGCGTAGGAAATCGTATGTGTAGGCCTTCTGTCAGGGAACAATTGGCTAAATAGTGCTCCGGAGAGCCGAGTTCACCACAACTGCAGACATTGGTATCACTAATGCCAAAGCGTGAGAAAAATTCAGGAAAAGGTCAATGCCCAGAAATGTAACGGGAAAGATGGGCATTGCCACAGCAGCGATCTGTCGACACATATGATAGATGGTAGAAAGTACGTTGACCGGTGAAGCTATTGTCCCATTCCTCTTGCCACTTACTAATTGCTCGAAGACGTAGTTCACTTGAGAAAAGAATGTGGCCAAGGAATGGATATATTCTCATCAGCATCACCAGAAGCCGCCTCCTTGGCATAGGCATCTGCAAGATGCAAGCATCTTAGGAACAGATAGCAACTACTACCAAGTCGATGCAAGTAAAACGTCCGTAGTTATTGAACAAATAGACGGAGCTCAAATAGTGTGACTTACGCTCACGGCATCTCAAGCCAACTATCCGGCTCTGTAGGATAAGCGATAAGCAATGGAGGACGTGGGCACTGTCCCTTTACCAAAAGGTTAATCGGTATAGCACCACGTCCACCTATATCTAGAGCCTAAAGAGGAATTACAAGACGCCACGCGCCAGGCGCCCAAACCCAGAGCCAAATTCAACCCGGGGGCAGTCCAACAGACCAAATGCCCACGAAAGACAGTCCCAACAACCGCCCAGGCCCCACATTTATTAAATAAAATAACAAAAGCATGCAGGGCCAAAAAGGGCGAGTTTGGACAATAAGCAAAAATTTTACAAAGGTGTAATACACACAAAATATAGATATTACATAAGCTAAAGTACAGTCTGATGTTGGGCAGCCCAATAATATACAATGAATAAATATAGACAGTAGAATTAGACTTAATGACAATATAACATAAAAATAGAGAACATAGTGAAATAATGAATGTAAATGATTACAGCAATACACAGAGGATATACCAAAAGAAATAAAAATAAAAGAATACAATGTAACAGAATGCAATAGCGGTACAATATACTTGATCACATGGTATTGTGGGAAAAACATGCAATAAGGCTAATTATACGATTATGAGGAATAAAAATAACATATTTAGCCTGCATAAAAGTTAACGAATATAAGATACTATACAATACTATACAATATTACAATACAATACAATACAAAAAAAAAAAAATTAACATATTTAACCTGTACTAAAAGCCAACTGATATAAGATACTATACAATACTATACAATACCACAATACAATACGATACAGTAGATACAATACCACAATATAATACGATACAGTAGATGCTATACAATACTATACAATGAAAATACAAAATACATTCAGTGTTGGTGACACAAAAATACATTTAAAATTGTCATGACACTAGTGATGAAAATACAAAATACATTCAGTGTTGGTGACACAAAAATACATTTAAAATTGTCATGATACCAGTGATCCTAATGCAGCAAATAAATTGATGCAGTTACCTGCATAAAAGATAACTTATATAAGATACCATACAATACTATACAATATACAACAATACAATACAATACAAAAGCTAATTAAACGATTATAATGAATAAAAATTAACATATTTAACCTGTATAAAGCCAACTGATATAAGATACTATACAATACAAAACAATACCATAATACGATACGATACAGTAGATACTATACAATACTATACAATAGAAATATAAAATACATTCAGTGTTGGTAACACAAATATACATTTAAAATTATCATGACACTTGTGATCCTTATGCAGCAAATAAAATTGATGCAGACAGTTAAATGTGTTGCTATACATTTGCAAAGGATGAAATATAGAGACTTAAGTATGCCACAAATTATGAACATATATTATACCGTGAAAAAACACAAAAATACATTCAATGTTGGTATAAATAAAATGGATATATTTAAAACAATGGATAATGGTTGGATATATTATACAATGAAAATCTCTAGCGACCCCAATACATTCAGTGTTATTATTACACACAGAGAATTAAATGTATGATATTACATGGGCAATTGATGAAAAGAAGACAGTAACAGTATAATGTATAGCCAAATATGCAAGTATATGGTATACCGATGTTTAACAGCAACTGGCAAACAATGTACCACTAATACGCCCAACTAGATATGCCAAGATATTATATACTATTATACAGTGAAAAACGCAAAATACGTTCAATGTAGATATTATCATAGTGCATTATGAGGGAATACAGACAGTTATATGTTTGATAATACATGGGCAAAAGATAAAAATAAAGACAATAACATTATTATTGTAGGACCACCGCGGACTGCGATGCACGAAGAAACACGTCTAGGCATAGAGTCAATAAGAGTGCGGATGGTGTCCTGAGGGATGGCTCTCCATTCCCTTTCAACCATTTGCCACAGTTCGTCTTCTGAACGAAGCAGGAGCAGAGTCTGCAAACGGCGTCCAATCACATCCTACACATGTTCGATTGGTGACAGGTCAGGACAGTACGATGGCCAGAGAAGCATCTGTATACCTTGAAGAGCATGTTGGCAGATGCGAGCACTGTGTGATCGGGCATTATACTGCTGAAAAATTGTATTAGTCAGCCCCTGAAGGTAGTGGATTGCCACCGGCCGCAGTACATTATCCAAGTATCATTGGGCCGTCATAGTGCCCTGAATATGGACTAGAGGTGACCTGGAATCGTAGGCAATAGCGCCCCAAACCATTATGCCACATTGTCGCGTGGTTGAGCGTTCCACAGTTACTGCAGGATTAAATCTGTCTCCACGTTGTCTAAATGTTGGCGTCTATGCTGTGGGGTCAATGGCAGTCTTCTTAACGGACGCTGTGAGTACAGGCCACGTTCAACCAATCGACAGGAAATGGTTCTGTTCGACACGGGAACATCCAGGGTATCTTGCACATGCTGCAGAATCGCGGTACAAGTGACTTGTGGGGCCACCACAGCTTATCGGCGGATGCGTTGATCCACGCGTGCTGACGTCACTCTGGCTGCACCTGCACCCCTCCTTCTTCCCACATTTCCTTGTTCCAACCATGTTCGCCATAGCCGATGCACCGTGCTCGCATCCATGCGGGTATCAGCTGCGATTTGACGTAAGGACCAACCTGCCCTTCTCAGTCCGATCACCATACTCCTCGTAAAATCGTCTATCTGCTGGAAGTGCCTTCGTTGACGGCGGCCTGGCATTCTCTCCTATTACACGTATCCTCCGAAACAAAAACCAACTTTATTCGATAATTCGTCTGGCAGGAATGAGACACGAATATTGCCCATTCTGCCCTTCCCTTATATCTTACTTCACGTGCATTGGAGAGGTGCGCATTTCACATCATTTGCATAACTCAGTGACGTGCGTCTACTCTAAAATTTACATAAATTTCTGACCACTCCTTCTTGGTGTTGCATTTTCAATGTCGAGCAGTTATAATAAATTATTTACTAATGGATTATTGAGTATATTATGTCACTTGAGAATATATATATATATACATTATTTAAAATAAATCATTAATAATAATTTTAATAATGATTTTGCAAAATTTTTAATGTTTTGGTAAATCAATGGTATCTGTTGCCAATGATTTGAAAGTGGCCAAGTCTTAGATAAGTTAATAAAGGTTCCTCCTTCCAGTTTTTAGGTACTGTAAAGTACAAATACTATCATTTATCAGCAAATGTCAAAATGTAGGTGTAACTTTAGAGAGTTGAATTTATTCTATACTTTTTAATTCTCTCATTCTCATTCCCATATAGTTCATTCCGTAATGAGTTTCACGCGTTCCCTTATTCGATTCGTCAGAGAATCGGAGGCTTACTAGTGATTTAGAAAATAGAAAAAAATTGTATACAAACAATAGGAAGCATAAATAAGCAAATGACGAAAGCAGAAAATTAGTAGCATATAAAAGGAACTGAAAGATAAAAATACAATTTAAGAAAAATGTTTCAAAATATTACCTCTATGTATTTCCTGTAAATACATCTCCGAGTAATCTTTCATTTCAAACAATACTTTATCAAAGATGATTATAAATCCTTTAAAATCAGGCCGACAGTTTTCCTTAGAACTTTCCACACAATCCTTTGAATGGTCCAAAATCCTGAAACAGTTGTACTTATTTCAGAAATTTATTATTTCAATATATATACAATTCCCCGCCCTCTTCCCCGTATCGAAGCAAAAAAGTTTGTCATTTTATGTATTTCTTTGTTCACTTTTGTGGTAATGTACAAGTGGTGTCAAGGCAAATGTTATTGCAAAAAAAAAAAAAAAAAAAAAAAAACAAAAAAAAAAAAAAAAAAAAAAAAAAAAAAAAACAAAAAAAAAGGGGGGGGGGAGGGGGGGGGTTGGGGGGGGGGGGGGGGGGGGGGTGGGGGGGGGGGGGGGGGGGGGGGGGGGTTCTGGGGGGGGGGGGGGGGGGGGGGGGGGGTTGCTCCAAAACGTTTATTTCCCAGTTATTGCAATTTTTCCCGTTTATTTCCCAGCTGACAGGCTGGTGTATGTAGTATTCTTTATTAAATTTTATAAATATTTTAACTGTTAATCATAGGATTTATGCAATAAAAATACTGCATATTCGGATTTGTCAACTTTGAAATAAACGAAATCAATTGTGTAATATCTGCCTTGGCACATTTGTTTCAGATGCTTCAAATTAAGGTGTTTAAGAAATATAAACTGGCGTTAGAAACACGACTAAAGGCACTGAAAATTTTGCTGATTAAATGTTGTGTGTGATTATAGCAAAGCCTCGAGGAAAGGGATGTTTTCGTGGAGGACTTTCTAAGGGAAATTGTGTATACACGTTACACATGAAGAAAACCACAAAAATGCTCATGCAGCTAGGCCGTTCACAGAATTCAAATTTCAGCGGCTTTACCACTCGGCCGCTTGGTGGGCCCTGCTGATTAAGGAAAGCTGGCAGAAAAGTTCCCTAGATGAGCGATGATAATAAGATTTACATTTTGAAGTTCAGTTTGTTTTAAAAAATGAAATTCTTAACGAGAAAATCAATTAAGCATTTCATTTGAAGAGTATATTACTAAATGTTTTCTGAAATTACTAAACAAAATTTATAATGTAAGCATTCAATAAATGCTTTTCGCAACTTTTTTTTTTTTTTTTTTAAATAAGCTGCAAATTCTGTAAATGAACAAAAGAATTAGGTGGTAATTCAATAAATATTTAGATGATTGATTTACTTCTTTAAATCCACATTATTTTAAGAAGCGATTAAACAAAAGAGAGAATCAGAATGGTTACTTTTGTAGGAAATTATCGTTTTTGAAATAAACCAAAAACAATTGAGTGATTATAGTTCTTTATTTACTTATTATTTAACACAAAAGATTTGTTCTCCATTTTTAAGATTAGTAGGGTACGAACTGCGCGAAATTTGATCGAAGATCCTCTCCCTCCTCTTATCTAATTCACGAACTACGCGACGTTTCCTGTCCCCTCTTTCTTTCCCGAAAAGACTAGGGTGCTACAAAAAGTCATTTATCGAATTTAATAGGACATTTTATTGAGACTACGGGCCTTTATTTTCGTTTATCAATATTGTAAAAATTGTGCATACAAAACAAATATTAATTCAAAGTCTGGCGTGTGCTAAAGTAAAAATGAATTTCTTTTACACTCATTTTAAAGATTTATGATGCTTAAAAGAATGATGAGCCAGATCTTTTTTATTCTCTGTAAGAATTAAACACTTTCCAAGTTGTAGATTTTAGTCGCTGATATATATATATATATATATATATATAGATAGATCAGTTTTGAATAATAAAATTGATAGATTAATGACATACACAAAACTGATACATAATCAACCTATCAAATATCGGATTTGTAGCGCACCTTAAATAACTTTGTCTAAATAAATATTAACAAATCATCTTAGATAGCAGAATGATTTTAACTATGAAATCTATCATTTTAGGTAAATAGTTCTAATTTAATTTAAAGAGTTATCTTTATTAAATCTAAAAATTGGATTTCTTAAGTGGTTCTACATTCACACTAATATTATTGCAATATATTGCCTTATTAAGCTTTCCATTTTTAGTCATTGATAAGTTATTTAACTATTTATGGTTTATTATTTATGGTTATTTTAAGTTTATTTAACTTTCTTACAAATTCCATATTTTAATACTAGAAACGTTTAGATATTTAGTCTGTTTTCCAGTTACTCTACTTGAAGTACTTTGGCATAATGCACATTTAATTAATAAATTGATAATTATGAGCGTCTACAGAATTTTCATAAAAAAAAAAAAAAAAAAAGCGAACTCCTTTATATTCATATCTTGGGATTTTCAGTTCCTTTTTAATATACTCCTTTTTCACATATTGTTGCACTGTATTCATGTTGCATATGTATGTTATCATAATAATTAAAATTTATTTACAATTTATACGTCAGAGTTCCAAACGCATACGAATGTTGTTATAATAGATTTCATGCTAAGCTTTTTTGAAATTTAACAATTAATTTCTGCAAAAATTTATATGATTACTTTAATTGACAAAAAATATTTCTAGTACACTTTGATACGGAATAATCTCGCATTTATTACTGTTATTGAAGTAATTAGCCTGCTTGTTAAGTATTCTTTACTTGTTCTTGTGATTGTGATATGTAATTCTATTTCTTTATTTTTATTTTCCTCTTGGCTACAATTGGCTTCGAAAAGTAAAATTGTAACCTGTAGGCAACGGGGGTAAGAAATTTTGATTGGCGCAGTTGGACTAGGACGAGGGGGGATTTTTATCCGCCCAGTTAGAGTACACTCTTTAAGATTAACATTCATTTAGACTTTTTCAGAAAATGGATGAATTTTTTCTCCCCCTGTATTTTTTTTTGTTACATTGTTCACTTTTCTTTGTAATTCAATGTTTTACTAATATTAATTATTAACCCGATATACTGCACTTCTATTTCAATGACTTCTTTTTAAGAGATTAAGAATGTTCAATGTGATAGATCCACTACGAAAACCTTTAATCAACCTTTAATCGTCATTACCGATATCCATTTTTTCTAAGACTAAGTCATTTGGAACTGTGGGTGGTCGTCTTAGAGATGGTTTTTCAGTTATATGCATTAAATTAAATAAATGAGAAAGCATACAGTTTCTTTTAAATGATATCTTTTTGAGAACTTAATTTCATCATAGAAAATGAGATAGCAGTAAAATTACTTTTATTATTACTACGTAGTACTAAACGCAGTATGTAAATAAAATTTACTTCATTTTAAATTGACTTCATGAAATAGTCAAAAAAAGGGGGGGAGGGGAATGAAGCCTGTTGGATAGTTACCTGTCTATTATCTGCTCCAGATCTCTACCTCCATCGTCAAATTTTCTATCAACAAAGCATTGATAAAATTCGTAAGACCAGTTTTCTGCAGTTGATGTTGCAGTAATTTGGTTGTAGTTGTACCGTATAAAAATTTTCTCTTTTCTTTCCTGAAATAGCAATAAATTTAAAATAACGTTACAACGTACAACATTAATTTACTAAGACACCTATCTAATTAACACTTGTAAACAAAATAAGTATTAAAATTTTATACAACATTTTATATTTATTACGCTAATGTAGTCAAGAGTTATTTTCTAAGAAGCATCATTTTTGTAAAGTATTTTTTAAGATATGCTTACGTATTTTCCATATGAGCAGTGGCTGGTTTGATTTGTTTGATTACGGCAAAGCACGTCAGAGCTATCTCGCTTAAGGGATGAAATAGCTTCGCAGTGGCAATGAACGTGTATGTTCATATACAGGGTGTTTCATAGGCCATGGGACAAACTTGGAGGGGTGCTAGAGCGTACTAAAACATGCATTTTTTTATAGGAATGTAGGGTCTAAAGTGATGGGTTAAGGCAGAAAATACACGCAAGGGGCTTCTTTGCAGCAATACAGTATTCACAATAAATGTTCAAAATTGCGACCACCAGCAGTAATACATGCTTGGTAACGTTGCAGAAGGCGATTGACGAACATTTTGAAAAACGACAGGCATTTCGCGCACGCTTGCAGCCGCAATGGATAGTCGTGCAACGAGGTCCTCCAAGTGAGACAACGGGAGTCTCGTAACTAATGATCTTCAGATGGCCCCATAAAAAAATCCAAGCTGGATAAATCTGGTGAACGGAAAGGCCATCGAACGGATCCACCACGGCCAATCCATCGGCCCGGAAATGTCCCATCCAAGTAATTGCGGATCCGCACGAGGTTATGGGCTGGTGCACCACCATGCTGGAACCACATGCGATCACGAACAACAGCCGGAACATCCTGGAGCAATTCCGGTATCACCTCTTGCAGAAAAAGATGATAACATAAGCCATTTGTATGTGCAGGTAAGAGATCTGGGCCTATGAGGTAGTCGTTAACAATACCCGCCCACACATTCACGGAGAAGCGGGTTTGGAATGCCTGTGGACGTGTGCCGTGTGAATTATGAGTTGCCCACACGTGCATGTTGTGTGGCTATTGAAGATGCCGTCCTGTGAGAAAATTGCCTCGTCCGTGAATAGCACATCCGTTGGGAAATCCGTATGCGCCGCACACTGCTTCAGTAATCAATGACAGAAATGAACTCGAAGAGGGTAATCAGTCTCTTGAAAGGCTTGCAACTGGTTTTGGTGCAAACCATTTTCATGCAATACTCTCCAAATGGTGGAATGACTCAGCTGCAGACGTGGTGCAATAGCTCTTGTACTTGTCTGAGGTGATTCATGCACAATGTTCAAGATGGATGCTTCAATGCGAGGTTGTCGTGCATTTCTTCCACTCCTAGTGTCAGAGGTGGCTTCAAATGACCCGTTTTCACACAGAGACCGATACAACCTCTCGAACATTGTGTGCTTCGGCATACGCCTGTTCGGAAACCGTTCCTGATACAACCATAGCGCTGCTCTGCCGTTCCCATTAGCAGCACCACACATGAGATGCATGTCAGCTTTTTCCCTGTGCGTAAACTCACCCATCACGCTCGACATCAGAGTTGCGAATGATCCTCTGATGCATCAGATCGTGGTTTGCCTCGCTCATCTTCGGCTGTCATATATTTGTACCAGAGTCCTGGAACGATTGAAAGATCATTAGCTGGCGTCGTGTGTCCATTACTTTCGAACTGAGTAAGATTCCTGACCTTCAGTTTGGATCACATTCTGTGCAAAGCTAGTGTCAGCTGTTGCGGGGGAGGAGAGAAAGGGTAATGTAAACAAACTCGGCTCTTTAACTTACCACGAGATATACACAGTTGCATTTCCGATATCCCTTCGAATCCTTTTTTTTTTTTTTTTTTTTTACTCTTCTTTTTTTTTTTTTACTACTATGCAGGGTCTCTTAGGGTTACAGGGTTCGTACACATTTCTGCACACGGAAATTAAGTACTTTTAAGGACCATTAGTGAAAAAAATTAAGGACCTATGAGCAAATGGGAACTGAATAAATTCAACTGAAAATATTATCTATGCCTGAATTTCACTTTTGAATACCATCCTAAAAATAAAATAGATCCCTAAGTAGTATGCATTATTACTAAACATGAATTAATTAACATAATTGTTAATGAGTTTGAGAATAAAATAAACTTTATGCAATTTATCAAATAGCATTAAATATTTACACTTATAATAGTTGGTAATATTTGAAAGGAGATAAGTGACATTTACGTTTTACTAACAGTTAGTTTTATGTTAATTTTTTTATGTCTCATTTTGTCCTACACTTGGTCAGTCTAGAGGTTTAGTAAACAGCAAGTAGAATTTATGTCAAACGGCATACGTTAAAATGAGAAATAAGATCATAATCAGCATCATTCATAACAAAAGATTGAATGTTGTCACCGCTACGGCTTGTCTAGAGAAAGACCTGCTGATTAGAACAAACCTGAAAGGCCTGATGTAGGCACGGTTGGCATGTGTTGAAAGTTATTTAGGCTAAGTTTGATGCAGTTAATCTCGTAGCTTCGAGTACAGTTCTGGGTGGTTGTAACCCAGTTAATATACTTTAAGGCTCCAATAAGCCATTAAAGCACCAGAGGTGATAAGTTGTTTTGTATTATTTTAAGTCTCAGTAGATACAAAGAATAAGTTTAACTTCAATTTTTACATTTTTATATTTTATCTTGTGACCACAGTGAGTATTAATGAAAGGCAATAAAACTGAATGTCTTATTGCCTTTCATTAATACTCATATGTAGAATTAATACTGTAATATATAGAGATAATTTTTAAGGGTAAGCATTTAGTTATAAATAATTACATTAGGTAGTTTGATAACCTTAGTCGTTATGGATTTACATGATCACTATTAAATTTTATTTTTAAAACAATATTTGTTAAAAAAAAGCCCTATTAAAAATCAAAATCTAATAAAATTTCACTTTAAAATATATGTAATTTATGACACAGATTCTTAAACGACATTTTGGCTAGTTTATATCGATTTCCTTCTCTTTAAGCATCTTTCTAACAATTAGAGATTTGTCTCAATATGCAAACCAATGCTCTCGCTAGTTTCTGCGTGCTTTATCTTCTAACTTGTCAACCTCTCCACAATGTACCTATGACGGTTTCATTGATCTAGTAAAAGTTAAATTGTTCAAAACCCCCGACAGACGTGAAGGTCATTATCGCTATGTCTGAAATTAACTACAATATCAGACAAAGGTTTAAATCAGCCACTTATTTAAAAAGAGCTTAGAACATAAAGGTATGTTCTGATGCTAACAAAATCAATTACAGCTCACGGTGACATAATTAAACAATAACAGTCAAATTCAAACTAATAATGTGGACTAGTGGTCAAAGATTATACAATTTAATTTAAATTTAATCTGGCTCAGTAACTCTATCATATGAGGAAATAGAAAATTATAGTAAAGGCTGAAAAATCATAAATAATTGGGTAATTTACATAATAATAGCTGCACATATCTTTGAAGAATAATTTTCTTTATGTATTAGTTTCTTCAAACGTTTCCCTTTCATTTTAGAATTTCTGGATTTAATTAAGATTTCTGTTATTCTAAAAAACAAATTTATAATAAATAAAAAATAAATTCATTTACAATGTACAGAAAAAGCGGCTAATTTTATTTCTTTAGCATATGAAACGTTCAGAAGAAATATGAAATATATATGGTAAAGGGCCGGTTACAGAAGCTGAGTGTGGCAGAATTTTGAATTAAGTGACACACTGAGCAACAAAATCTAGAAATGGCAAAACTTTTAGAAATTTAGAGCAGGCATTGGAAACAGAATTAAGAAAGGCACTAGGCAACAGGAATTTAGGATCGACAGAGATTGCATCAAGGTAAGAAAATGTTTAGTGCTAGCTCTGTGTTATGATGCATTAAGACATAATTAGATGAATCTTTTAAATATTAAGTTTTCAATTTCTTTATTAATAAAAAACATCACTTTCTATAATGGCTGCCCATGTGATAAGATTAGAAGCATTTTTGATATTTTCCATGCTTGTGTCTAGTGAAAAGTAGAAAAAATAAAGGGAGGATAAACATGTTAAGATTCTAGTATCAGAAGTAAAACATTCAAAAACTTCATTCATTACTTCTCCAAAAAGTAAGAAATTCATTGCAAACTTTCTCTAAAATACACTCATTACGTGTTGATACCATGGAGACATTTTTCATTTTGTCACATATTTCTGGAATCTTCTAGATTCTTGGGTCTATAAATCTTACCTTCAAATCCTTCTAAACTTTCCAAGCTGCAATGTCTAAAACCCTAAAGAAAAATTATCCCTACCATTTCTGCAACAGCAAAAAGTCAGAAATAATTTTGGAAAAAAAAGGAGGGAAAAGTATAAAATTCTTTTTACAGAGGAAACTGATGCACATTCTGAGAATTTTAAATATTCTGAGACAATTACATGGGGAAAACTCTCACTAAGAAAAAATTAAAAACAAGACATTTTTAATTAATTACATAGCTAATTTTGCTTTTGCTAAGAGCTGTTTCGTAAACTGTGCTTAGAGCATTAACCTTGTTTATTTTCAGATTCAAATATTGTATACTAAGTTGCCAAAGCGAAACTTTATAATATGACATCAAAAATAAAAATGTTTTATTTAATGTTATTTTTTAAATAATTTCAATATATTACCATTATTTTAATGAAGTTTATCAATGTTACGATGTTTAAAAAAAAAAAATCGTTGAAAAATCCTCAGATCTCGGAATTAAAAAGTTTCTATAGAAACTAAGCTTAAAATCGCCAAAATGTTGAAAAGTCGCCAAATTTAGAACCATTTAATGAAAGAATTAACATCCCCAAAAGCAAAAAGTTGTTTAAGAGCTCTTTATTAGAAAAAATGAATTTCGAAATGCTTATATTTCATTTCTTGCTTAGAAACTCGAGTATCCCATCATTTATCTTAGAAATAGAAACAAATTATAACTCATGAACCCATTTAAAAGATAACCATAT